GGGAAGCTTCTAGCAGCTTCTCACAGAAGCCACCCCTGTAAGCCCCCCTGCTACCAAAACTGCCACACAAACCCAATACACATGGTTACGTTGGCAGAAGACAAAATGTTTTCTAGGAGTGCTGTTCAACTTTTATCAGCCTGCACTTCCCATGTGTTCACTCAATTTTTCTGTTGCTCTCTGGGCAGGAGTGCTTTTTTTCCATGTAGCTGTACCACAGGCCCATGCAGGGGCTGGAGCAGAGCATGCCTCTTGGTGGGGAGGTTTGGTTCTGAGGGGACAGGAGCTGATAATTATTGATGTTATTTACATGTAGTGACAGCAAATGGAGAGGAAAAAAAATCACTGGGCAATACTCAATCAAAAATACATACAGTAAAGCACATGAAGAAAAAAATTTCTTAACCTGTCCATTAAGACCAAGAGTAAGGCTGAACAAGAGAAAATGTAAGGATTCATACCTTGTCTGTGTTGCCCTAGAATAGTTGGTGCTGCAAGGTGTTTTCCAGCAGCGCAACGAGAGAGTTGTCGTGAAAAATGCCTGAAGTGGCAAGAGTGGTGGCACTCAGCCTAATCAAAGCGATCTCTGCCGTGCCTCTCCTTTGTAGAATCATCGAATGGTTTGGTTTGGGAGGGACCTTTAAAGGTCATCTGGTCCAACCCCCCAGCAATGAGCAGGGACATCTTCAACCGGATCAGGTTGCTCAGAGCCCCATCCAGCCTGTCCTTGAATGTTTCCAGGTGGGGCATCTGATGGGGCATCTACCACCTCTCTGGGCATCCTGTTCCATCCAGTGTTTCACCACCCTCATGGTAAAAAAAAGTCTTCCTTGTATCTAGTCTGAATTTGCCTTCTTGTAGTTCAAAACCATTACCCCTTGTCCTATCGCTACAGGCCCTATTAAAAAGACTGTCCCCATCTTTCTTGTAGGTCCCCTTTAAGTACTGAAAGGCCACAATAAGGTCTCCCTGCAGCCTTCTCTTCTCCAGGCTGAACAACCCCAACTCTCTCAGCCTTTCCTCATAGGAGAGGTGTTCCACCCTCTGACCATTTTTATGGCCCTCCTCTGGACCTGCTGCAACAGGTCGTTCTACTGAGGACTCCAGAGCTGATCATGAGTCGGTCTAAAGCGGGATGGAAGGTGGAAAATGTTGAGGAGACAAGGGCTGAAGAGATGATTCTGATGACAATGGCTAAACCCTGGCAGAGGTTTTCCAAAGAGGTTCAGGAAAGTGCCTCCTTGGAGAGATGCCAAAGAGAAGAGTGGGCACGGGATCTGCAGAGCCCTGTTTGGAGCAGGGCTTGGAGTAGGTGTTGAGTGGAGGTGGCTTCCCCCCAGCCCAAAGGCTCGTTCCTGTGCTTCTGAGACAAGAGGCATTGGCAAGCTTTCTGGTTTTTGGGAAGTGCGTTGGTGGGGTGGCCGTGTGTGGGGAGGGCGGTGGTGGTGCTTTGCTGGTGGTGTGTTGGGGGGAGGCGGTTTTGGGGGGATGTTGGCTCTAGTGGTTGAGTGGGGGATTTGAAAGTGCAGGGGTAGCAACACATGGGGTAGTTGTGCTGCTGATGTGGGGTTTTTTTGTGGTTTCTCCTTTCCCTCCCACAGTGGCTCTCATGTCTATTGTGTTCCGCTGAATTTCCCTTCCTGCCCAAGTCTCTTTTTCTTATGTAATGCTTCAATGTTGGTTGTGGGGTTTTTACTTTCGGTATGTTTGTCATCTTTGTTTTCATATGAATACATCATTTCTTTTTACATTTTGGAAGATTTGTAAAATTATATATGTCTCAGGAATCTCAGGAGCTATCTCTAAGTCCCGATGTCCTTTGAGGAGGTGGCTATGGGTCTAAACACTTGAGCACTGAGTGTTTATTGATGAAGTTTCTACAATCTCTTTGCTTCCCTTTCCTTGGTTTGAACCTCATCATGATGGGGGATAAGAAGTCTTTTCTAAGCTGTTGCTTATTGAACAATGAAGGAGACACAGCCAGAAATATTTTTATATGGGGTGATTTTTGCTGGTTTTGCCAGTTAAGGAATTTTTTGTGACCACTGTCTCATTGTGGAGCGCGGAGGAAAAGGTCCTCTACAAACAATTCAATTTTTCCAATTTCCAGTGTTTGCCTGGAGAAATGCTGTGTTATGTTATGCCCTCGTACTACTGGAACTTCTCAGTTTCTCTCTCTCTCTTTTTTTTTTTTTTAATCACTGCTCGTACATCATTTCTTTCCATTTTTAAAATTCTTTTTCAGTGGTCTATTTTGCTCCAGCTGGTGCTGATGGTATGTGGGCAGTTTCCTTCATGGGGAATGCTGTGCTGGTTGGTTTGGACCATGTTGGGTGGTGGTGTTTGAGGGATGTATCTTTTTGTTTGCTAAGGATGTGTTGGGGTGAAGAAGGCCTAGGCCGATGTGCTCTATGTAGTGAGGCAGGTCCCCATGGCCACTGGTGTATGAGCACAGGCAGGAGCATCCTGGGCCAGTTGTGGTGGTTGTAGGAGAGCAATGAGCAGTCCTGGGCATCTCCTGTGTTTTTTGTGGCTTTTTGGTGTTTCTTGGGTGGGGTTGGTAGCACTGGGGTGCTATTCCTTGTTCAAATCTCCGCAGGCCTTGGTGGGTACCCTCCTTGCCTCTTTGAGGTGCACCTTGTCCATGCCACCCTGCTTGGTCCCAAGCAGTGCTGTGGCATTGCTGAATGGTTGGTTGTGATGGGGTGGTGGTTTGGAGGTGGCTTTCATGTCTTGGCAGTGGGAGAGGGTTGAGAAGGGAGAGGGTGGGTGGTGGGAGAGGAGGAGTGGGCAGGGCAGGCATTACATCATCTGGGTGAGTGTGTGCTTTGAGGGTCTGGCATCAGCAGGAGATGCCTGTGGGCTTGAAGGACCATGGTGGGTCCGAGAGTGGCCTGCTGTCCGGAGCCTTCGACTGGGGCAGGAGGCATCGGTGGGACGGGCTGCAGGAGGGAGGCTCATCCCTGCCTGCAGAGACCCTGTCTTTGCCTGTCAGGTATATGCATGATGACAACCTCTTTTCTTATTTTTTGTTTTTGCAAAAGTCTTTATTTTCAGCAACTGAATAAATAAATAAATAAATATATAAATATAGAAATGAATGTCCAGCAAAATAAATAAATAAATAGAGATCTCTGATAAATAGTCATTGGCATGAGAGTCCCTGCAGTGTCCATGGGGACCTTCCCCTCCATCAGGGGAGGTTGCAGTCTGGATGGGCTAGATAATGCCATAGGTAATAAATACTATCCCTCTCCCCATTGCCTCGTGGCTGTCCATGAGCATGCAGCACAGCATTTTCCTTCTCCTTCCTTTCCAGCAAAGGTGTGGCCATGGTGCGGGTATGCGGGCTGTGCTGCAGCCTGGCCCCAGCCTCGCCACGGTCATGCCCATTTCCCCGTCAGCGCAGGCTCCTGTCTGGAAGAGGTGTGAGCAGTGCTGAGCAATCCCAGCCCCGGCTGCTGTTGCTGGCTCCACTTGATCTGTGGCCGCCAGCGTTGGCTGGGTATGGATGCTTGGCGCGGGTAGGTTGGGTGGAGGGCAGGAGCGGCTCAGCTCTTTATTTGCTGCATGAGCGTGTCCACGCGTTGGAAGCAGATGCGAGCTTTGAGGCGGACGTGGTCCCAGGCGCAGGCACTGTGGTTGTGGATGTGAAGGAAGTCGTGGATGTGCCTGAAGTATTTGTTGATGTTGAGCAGCAGGTTGCGGGGCCCTTGGCCTTTGAAGAACATCCCATCGGCTGGCATGCATTGCTCCAGGTCGTCTTTGTAATGCTGGAGGTTATTGAGGAGGTGGTGGCATGCCTGGGCATCCCAGTGGTGGGGGGTGCTCGGGCTGCTGAGGGTGGCGAAGAGATGCTGGAGGATGCGAAGGGCAGTGGCAGCGGCTTGCTGTGGGTGATTAGTGTGGAGGAGGGTATCAGGGAAGGGGAAGGGTACATGCTGGTGGGGTGGCAGGGCTGTGGCGGGCTGGGAGCCATGGCCTGGAGGAGCTGGAGGCTGTCCCAGGGGAAGGTGGCATCGTGGGGACGCAGGTGGTGGCAGGCAAGGGCAGCGGCAAGAGCTGTCAGGAGGGAGCGGGGGCGCGGGGGCGCCATGCCAGAGGCGGGGCTGCAGGGTTGCTGGCGCAGCCATGGTGGAGCTGTGGGTGCTGTGTGGGTGGTGTTGGGCAGGAGCCTGGTGAGGCTTGGTGGTGGTGCAGGTGGGCACTGTGCTTGGGGTGCTGCCGGGTGGCTGGCTTTATGTGGTGCCATGGCTTTCCTTTCATCATCGTCATCATCTAGACAGAATTTCCCTGTTTTCGTTTTCAGTTTTGCTTTCCGTTTACTTTCTCCTGAAGGATTTTGTTGTGCTTGTCAAAGTGTGAGCAGAAGGTGGCCCTGCCCTAGCGAACTGGAACTGGTTCTTTCCCAGGGCTGGTGTCGGGGTGTGTGGGGAGCCCGGCTCCTGTGCCGTTAGGGTTCTGTGGGGGACGTGAAAGTGCGGTGGCAGAGGCTTTTGGGGCAGCTGTGCTGGGGATGCATTTCAGGGTTTCCTTTTCGTCTACTTTGTGAGTTGTCTTTCTTGGTTTTTATTTTCAAGTTTCTCTGCCTACCAACATCTATTTTTCTTATTTTGTGCTCTGATATTATTTGTGTATATGAGTTAATGTATGTTTTCCTTTATTTCTTATTAACAAATTGTAAAGTCCCGGTCTGATTTTGGGCTCGGGGAAGGTTTATAATGATCCCAAGAGTGAGATTAAGACACAAACAAGGTCAAATGCCACCTATCAGGCCATTTTTATTGTATAAAAGCAGAAGAATGGAGCGATAGGAAAGGCAGGAAATATTAGGAGGAAACTAAGCAAGCATTTGGAAAGATAAGCAAAGGATAATCATCACCATGGATCCAGCGGCATCCCGTTGGTCCTGTCTTCAGTTCTTCGGTGGTGGGTGCACGCCATGGTTTGTTTCCATGGTCTTTTATATACGGCACGTGTCCACAGTCCGGTACGTGCGTATATGCCCCATGCATTGTTCACGTGCTTTAGGTCTATGCCCCACACATTGTTCATGTGCTTTAGGTCTCGCCTATACATGACCATTGGCAGGTAACAATGTATATTCTTGGCGGGCAGCTGGCTCAGCCCAGATGATGGTTGGTATCTTGCGTGGATGGTGCCTGATAAGCAAAAGAATGGTCTGCTGCTTCAGTAAGTTTGCATAAGTTTCCCCGCAGGCTGCAGTGTCGC